CCTTCTCCTTCTCCTTCTCCTTCTCCTTCTCCTTCTCCTTCTCCTTCTCCTTCTCCTTCTCCTTCTCTTTCTCTTTCTCCTTCTCCTTTTTTTTTTTTTTGACTCCTGATGACTGCTTGGACTAATCCCTGCAGTTTTCTCTACAAGAACTTCTTCCTAGGGCTGAAAGAGAGTGACTGGCCCACAGTCCCCAGCTGGCTTCACATCTAAGGCGGCACTAGAACTCACAGTCTCCTGGTTTCTAGCCTGGTGCCTTAACTACTACACCAAACTGGTTTTTTTTTTCTTTGGTATATGCTATTTTGAATGTTACTTCATTGTAAGCTGCCCAGTGTCACTGTGGAGTCTCATGGCCTCAAAATTGGAAAGTTAAATTAAATTAAACATGGAGGCAGTGCTTACAATGAAAGATCACCTCAAATGACCGAATACATAAAATGTCTTTTTATTTCAAAGAAATATAAGAAGTAGCTTCTGAAAATATGGGAAAAGTGCATAAATATAAGAGGCATTGATTTTATAGGTCTAGTTTCTATGTAACGAATATGTGTTTGCATAGGAACAATCAACCATGTATGCCTCATTTACAGTCCAAGTGAGGTTAGCAAGCCATATTTTCCAGCTCATATATCTGCGAAAACTAGGTTAAAACTAAAAAGTGAAAGTGTATATTAGGACTATGTTGATCCTTCAAGGCATGGACCAAATTCCTCAGGAAGGTCATGAGCAGCTACACTGAGCCTTCAGAGTGGCTCATTGAAGGATTTGCACAGATTTAATGTATATTAAGCACATTTTAGGTTTAACTGGTCAGTGTTTTAAATCTGCTAGCAAGAAAAGCCAACTAAGGAACGGGTATTGAGTAACTTTAAAAGAAAAAAATTCCCAACAGGTCAGCAGGTATGTTCTGCCACCTTGGCAGCAGATAGCAGTTCTGCAGGATCTGTTGAAAGGCTGAAGGAACGCCTGCTGCATACCCAGAGTGAGCTGGCAAATTCTAAGCAAGAACATGAAGAATTCAAGGAGCTAACAAAGTAAGATGAACAGATGTATCCTAACATTCTTCTACAAAATACCTTCTCTACACATTATTAATTCTTAAAACTCTGGTTCAGAAAATTTTATTACGTAGTATTACTTATATCTATGAAATGAAAAAATAATAATTGAAAAGATTGAAGAAAAAAGCTGTGTGAAAAGCCAAACATTTTTTTTGTTTGTATCTAGTAACTTGAGTAGGAATTTAGTTAATATTGTGACACAAGAAATTTCCAGTGCAAATTAACAAACAAGTTATCAAGTACAAACAACAATGATGAATTAATAATGAAAGTCACAAATATAAAACAATCCAAACCAAGATTTTAGAAACAGTAATGCCTTCTTCCTCCACTCCAGTCACAGCTGACTGATCTCAGTTACTTCCAAACCTTTAAATCTTGGATTTAACAAATAGGTGAGAAGTTTAGCCTATTTTGAGATATCTCCCTTCATCTGAGTAGAAGGAATGCAAAATGGCCATTTAGAATTTTATGGACATGAAACAACATAGGTTTTTTTTAATTTTGCTTTTAAGGTCAAAACATGTTTTGTTTCAACCTTGGAACCAAACATGGCTATTTCAAGTGGCAACTTCCAAATGTTAAACACAGAAAAGAAACTTGAAATAGGGCATTTTAAGTGCTTCAAGTTTGAAATAAACTGCATTTTTAGAGGTTTGTTTCAATCTCCAAAAAATCATTTGGATCTTTTTAATGGAAAACAACCATTTTTACAGAATGTTTCAAGTGAGATTGTTTTATTCAAGGCTTAAAACAAAACACATTTCCTGTTTTATGGGCATCCTTATTTAATAACTGTCCTTTTCATTGTGAAATTGCTTTTATGTACAACTTACTTTAGTGCTTCAACTGTTATTTTTTAACTTTTTTTACTCTAAACAGAAAAAAGCAGATGGAATTAGAATCAGAACTTCAGTCTCTGCAGAAGGCAAATCAGCATCTTGAAAAGATTTTAGAAGCAACTAAAGCTTGTAAACGCCAGGAAGTGTCTCATCTTAATAAAATCCACAGAGAAACATTAAAGGTATGAACTGTGATGATAGAAGTTCATCTAGACACCACAATTAAAAGGGATATGAATGACATAAATAATGGTGTGCAATAATTTGCATTTTTAAAATTAGTACAAATTTTGGGGATTTCATGTATGAAAGTTATTCTTTGTAATATTATTATGCCATATTTCTTCTAGTTGGTTGAATTATTTATTTACTTGGGTTTATATGCTGTTCCAATCCAAAAGGACCCTGAATGGCTTACATTCCCTTATTACAGTAGAAGGTTAAAAAAATCAAAATAAATAATGTAACAAATTACAGTTACAAAGAAATTGTCACCAGAGAAACAGTAAAACATCAAACATAACCCATGATGGGTGTTCATTGCTCATAGGAGCTTTATTCCCAAGGCTCTCTTTAAAAGCTGGGTTAGGATAGCTTCCCTAAAGCTGAGTAAGGGTGGGAGTCAATCTGATCTCAGGAGTTAAACTGTTCCAAAGCAGGAGGCTGCAATTGAGATTTACTTTCTTGTGCCCTGAAGATGACAGTCCCTAAGAGCAGGAATGTGGAGAGAGCCTATCCTTCCCAATTTTATGGGATGAGCAGAAGCCAGTGGGAAAAGATGGTTCTGTGGGTATCCAGGTCACAACTTGAGTAGTTGTATTCAATGGGATTGATTGAATTCCTGTAATGGATCAGTTTTGAAGAAAAGTCACAAGAAAGATCTTCAAAAGAAACATAGCTAAATTTAACAATCAGAGTCCTCCAAAAAAGGAAGACAAGAAACTAAAGAGAAAATCATGTGACTTTGGAGTGTTTACACTATTTAAAATATTAGGCTATTCTATAGCTTTAGGTCCATTAGTGATCTTCTAGAAATACTTTTGACAGGAGCAAGTAATAGATAAGGAGAACGTTCATTTACTAACATTTTTAAAATTTTATTTCAGAATCCAAATCTGCTGCTAAAGCTAGTCATATTGCTGTTATTTACTTAAGTAAATGTCTTATGTTAAAAAAAAATCTTAAACTTCTATTGTAGAACATGACTACACCTACAAAAGCTTATCAGCTGAGATCTCGATTAGTGCCAAGATTAACTCCTGAAATGTGGAGACAAGAATCTGCTGATATTCAGAGTTCAGAACAGCCAGTGGATGATATTTTTAATGAACCCATGCCTCCTGAGATGAATGAGCAAGCATATGAGGCTATTGCAGAAGAGTTGGGAATGGTGCAGGTAATTCTCCAAATCAAAGTGCATATTTAAAAAAAAAAACCTTATACACTAAGCAGAATACTCAAGTAGCTATTATTGACTAGGGTTTGGAAATGTGAATGGAGTTAGATCAAGTAGTCTGGGTAGACTATTTTGGAGTAAATTTATGCGTATATCTTCAAAGTTCCAATGAGAGCTGTCTAAGACTATAAGGTTTTTCACTTTAGGCCCCAGGCAAAATTCTGTATCTTGGATTCCAGATATATTCTTGGGCTTTATCTCTTTTTATCTGTACAGTACCATTATATTATACAGTACCCACAGATAGTGGGTCTCTCAATGTGAATTCTGGCCAAAATTTTATAGAAAGTTACAAATCTGTTGGATTGGCAGCACTAATGATTTGCTTAGCAACAGTACTTTGGTTCACTGAAATTCTGAGAAGCAGTTAGTGGCAGATGGCAAATATAAACTGTATAGTTAGACTTCTAAAATATGTAGCTATATCTAGTGTGTTGGAGATGTCTACAGTATAGTTACACAGAAATCAAATATTTCCTCTGAAGGTTGTACTAAAATATATAAGTGACATTTAAAAAAAACCCAAATGTTCCTTTACTGCAGGAACAACTGAGCAATCTTCAGATCAAACTAGATGCAGAGGAAAGTAAAACTATAAAGCTTCAGCAGCATATTAGCAAGTTGGAGCACCATTCTTCCCAAATGCAAGAGGTAAGACATTCTTCTTTGGCTGAAGAAATGAAAGCTACTTTAAATTATTATCATTGTTGCACAGAACATGTCACTGCTTGATTAATCCTGAACTGAAAATGGAGTTGTGTTTTTTTTTCCTAGACTATATGCTTACAGTTATTTCCATCTCCAAGATTGACCTAGAGCTAATCAGAACAGAAACAGATGATTCTGTGTATCATATGCATCCCTGTGTTTGACATCAGTTGTTAATTTTTTTCTTTGTGTTTTTCTTTCTTTTTTTCCCCCTTACTGAAGCTTTTTGCTTCAGAAAGAAGTGATTGGCAAACAGAAAAGCAAGAGCTTCTTAAAAAAATAGACTGTCTAGAAAAGCAGTACCAGGAAACTCAGAACACAGCTGACAGTAAGTTTCTTAATGAAAGACTGTATTGGTTTTAGTATAATGTTTGCACTGTTTTTTTGTGGTTAAAACCTGTTTCAGATGTGTGGAAATGGCTTTTGGTGGGGCGAGGAAGGACTTTTCTCTTTTTTGGAAATTGTTGTGGTCACTGTTACTGGTGGATAAGAGTAGTCTGTGTTTCCATTCTTCTAATTAAAGGAATGTGTCAGTTCCTCTGAAGCATGGAGCTTGTAAGTGTATTTTGTATCTGAGAGGCATAGCAGCTGCACTGTCCACAGAGAGTGAAAATTCCTGCAGTCTTGAAGAGAAAGGAGTAAAAAGTTAATAAGCCAGGAGTATGATAGGGCGAGAGTTGATAAAAAAGCCACAATTGAATAAAAAGTAGGTGTTGATGGGAAGAATGCCGAATATTGTCCCAAAACTATGTATGCATTAAAGAGGAAGAATCAGCCTTGAAGTACTCATGCTTATTTATGCAAGCTGCCTTATTATGGCTTTCTGGACTGAGAGTCACAATAAAAGTTACAGTTCATTCTGAGCTTTTGCTTTCTTAACACCATCTATACAAGTCCAGATAACCTGACTGATTAGTGATTGCAGAATGAAAGTTAAATTAATTCAATCAATCATTTATTACGGTCACTGACCAATGCTGAATTAATTAGTATATAATAAAACTATATTTATGTCAACAAATGTTTTGGGAAACCTATCCTGATGAAATTAAAGGAAACTAAAATAAGGAAAGAAGAGTTTTGATTAACTGACCTAATCTCTTAACCGAAGTGCTTAGCCTGTTTTTGTCTCTTAAATCTTCTGCAATTGTATATTTGGACTTTGTTTTCTTTCTTTATATACGTTTCTACTGAAAATAGGGAAGAATAACTTTGAACATATGTGTACGTATTTCTTTAGCTATTAAACAAGGTTTTGCATTTAGTGGTTTTAGCATATTTTAATGAAACTTTTACAATAGTCAAGTTTTATGTGGATTTTGTTTGAATCTTCTCATTTCACTTAACAGTACTGAAGAGTGAGGTTCATGACCTGAGAATTGTTCTGCAGTCTGCAGATAAGGAACTGTCTGGTCTAAAAATGGAATATGATATTTTCAGAGAAAATCAGGAGAAAGAAATCAACGATCTTTCTATTAGACATATGAATGTACAACTGCAACTTGATAATGTTAGGTATGTTACTATCACCAAAAAGGTTCATTTATAAATCACTGAAAATATACTTAGGGCCACATCAAACAATTTATTTCCCACCCAAATAGCATTACTATGTAGTGTACATTGCCACATGTGATGACTTCAGAAAGATCTGCATGTGTTGTATCATGCTCACATAGGTTGTTTTCTCCTAAATGAAAGTGCCAGTTATGTAATTTTTAAAAATTGGACTACAATTGTGCAGGACTCCTTTAATTAATTGAATTTTTTTAAAAAAACTCTTACTCTGACTTTTAATTTCCATTAAAAATCATTTATCATTACATCTTCCCATCATCATCATCATCAGTTGCTATTTTCTAGTGGAATTGATCTTGTGATCACAGGAAACATGGCTATGGAAGAATTCTGTATATTTCGTATGGTTCTTCTAAAAAGACATAGTAACATAGTGGATGATATAGTAAATAACTGTGTGTGGATAACTGCATAGTGGATAATATAGTAAATAACTGTGTGTATACATATCTCAGTATAAATGTTGGTGCAATATTAGTTTTTTATAGTTTGAACTATACAAAGTATCTGTCTGCCCTACAACAGATTTTTGTGAGTATTGAAGTGCTGGTTTAAATATTTTAAAAACATTGATCTTGTTGTCATATACTGTATGTGTGTGTGTGTGTGTGTGTATATATATACACACATATACATACATACATACAGTACATATATACATACATACACACACACACACACACACACACATGCTTAGAAATCTATTCTAAGGGGGAAAACAGTAAGTCTATAGCAGTGGGGGGTTTTAATTGTATTCTAGTGCACTTACGAGTTCTTTGGAACTCTTCAGTTGTAAGATCTGTAATGGAAGATAATTTCTCATTAAAGATGTCTTGCCTCTTGATCTTCCTGTAGAGTATAGACTGTTGGATGGTCATGCTCTCAATTACATTGAGTAATCATAAGAACAGAGAAACCTAGCTTGTTTCTTATGAGAAATAAAAGCACAATAAGAAAATAACCCTAAATCAGTGACTCATCAGCAGGCAAGTCAGATGTAGCAAGGTTTCCCTGACAAAAGGAGAATATAAACCAGCAATTTTAAATTGCATGATATAAATAGACCTTCTTTCTACTGTGCAAAGAGTTTCTAGTATTACATGAAGGGTTATAAGGATCTGATTTCATCCCCAAAAATGCATGTGTATTGGTGCTTGCTTTGTCTGCCTGCCTGCCTTTCTGTTTTTAGCTATCCTTGCCTCCATCTTTGAGAAGATGCCCTCAATTTGTTTTAAAGCATATATCATGATTAAATTATTTCATTGAAGGCTAGAATATGAAAAAATACTTGAAGAAAAAACAGGCCTACAAGATGAATATGAAAATCTCCAGGAAATACTGAAATTTGAGACTGATCAATTGACACAGCAGTTCATTGACAGCAAGCATGAAAGTGAAGAACTGAAAACTGAACTTCAGGTGAGCAATAAACATTCCAAAGCTTTAATGTACTATATACAGTAGATCCAGAATTATTCACAGTGATGGGTAAAGTCTAGACCTGCTCTTTTCAACTCCCAAGATACATGTTGCAAATATACATATGCAAATTTCTTATTCAAGCATGACATTGATGAGGAAACAAGACAGGGTAAAGAGAACCATCCCTTCATAGACTTTCTTCTAGCTAAGGAACTAGCTAATAGCTAAAAAGGACCATTGTCACAGAAAGCAGTTTATTAATTTGTTGAACTGAAGATGATCTTATGTAATTCTGCATAATCAATCAAATCGTATTAAGATCATAGAACAGGATAAGAGCTAGGGTTAGGGTTAATAATTCCCAAGCTACCGTCCTTGTTAATAAATGCTAAACACAAATTTCTTACAGTAGCTTTGCATTACCTAAAATACTTGAGAGTTTTGTGCATTCCCAGTGCTAATGCGTAGCTGTCCAAATGTTTAGATCAATGGAGACTCCAGTCTCTGATCCATAGTTCCAAAATTATGTTGATTGTAGTCCCACTGCACATGGCTTTTTCCTCTTTTTCTTCTTTTTTAAATACTGTACAGTGTTCTGGACTTTTATCTGTAAATTAAAATTCTTGCAACCTCAGTAATTACTGACACAATGGAGCGTGATGTGGAACAGAGCCGATTCTTTATCAGAGCCATGAGGGAGGTTCTCCATTGCTTCTGCCTATCACTTTTGAATTGGGATATCATGTAAACTTAAAGAGAATTGAAAATGTTTCTAGTCATGCACCAAATATGTTAATATTTGTTATATTTTAGAATATATTAGGTTTGTTGGAAAGTGAAAAAGAACATAATCGCAAAATAACAATGCAGCTACAAGAAGATAAAGAACATCATTCTAAGTAAGGACTGCGTATTAGAAATTTTGATTCCTACTGTGGGTTTCTTGTATCATTCACTGAAAAAAATGAATACTTATTTTAAGTTTAGAAAAACACAAAAGGAGAAATGAATGAAATACAACCTTTAGTGCCATACTTTTACCACTTCTGAAATTCTCACTCCTTACATTTTCATTATGTGTGCCCAATCTTTTTCTAACTCAACTTGAATTTACTAATTTAATACAAGCTCAAAATAACATGTTGATAGTTAGCTCAGTGAGACAATATTTGACGAGCAGTATTCAGAAAAATACTGTCCAGATGCTAATGGATAAACCTTACCAGTTATTATTAATGAAAGCCCATCTTTGTTTTTTTTTAATGTTACATTAAAATAAGGTACCAGAGCCAAATAGCATAGCACTAAATAAATGAAAACTATGTTTGATTGAACTTTATTATTCTCATTATATAATACCGTATTTTTCCAACAATAAGACACCCCCATGTACAAGATGACCCCCACTTTTCCAGTCCAAAATTAAAAAATCAATATTTTAAAGATAGTGTAGAACACATTTTTATTTAGTAATTAGTTAACATTGACCTGATACACTCAGTGGGAGGAGGTCCAAACCGTCTCTCTGCAGTTCTATTTCCAGGCTCTTTTGCTTAACTGATTA